CTTCGTACTGACTTATTATGTCTGATATATATCAGTGCATTTTATTGCACCAGGTGACGTCTAGGAAGGCCATAATGATTGATCCTATCCCGCAAATAGTTTCATTTCGCTAAGAATGCTCATACGCTCTGCAACTAGCAAAGCAGATCAGCGCTTGAAGCTGTCACCACGTCTATGCAGTTTGTGGTGACCGGCTACTTCGACTTCGTGACCCTCCCTTGTGAGTCGCATGGAATGTCATGCTAACAAGTATTTATTTTCATTTTATTAAGTACGCGTAGGGCGTGCCACATCTAGACAGTTAAAAACACTTGAATAGTCAATTTAGTTGTCAATTTTTTTGGAAATACTAACCACCCCAGGGACTGCCTTCTGCAATTTCAACCCTGTATAACGTCCTAACCATTGCATAATCTAAAAAATCATTGTATCAAAAGCAAAGTTGGAGGGAACAGAAAATCTGCTTGCCTCGGTCATGCTCGGTCGTTTGCTAGGATTACTGTCCCACAATTTGTCAAGTACGTAATCTGCCAGTTTTTTCGGAGTTTCCGGTGGAAAATCGTTCAGTTTACCTTCCAGTATCTAGATTGAGCATAGAAAAATAATGAGAGGCGAAATAAAGTATCACCGGTCACACTTACGAGTGCCTTTACTTCTTGGCTTGGTAACCCTTCGTATGGTTCCCTTTGAGAAAAGATTTCAAATGCAAGGACCTAAGTGTGTCCATTCTCAATGCTTACAATCATGCTTCTCATCTTCCATCTTACCCCAAACGAGTATACATCTGATTTTTGACTGTAGCGGAAATCTTTCAATGTTTCTGGTGCCATCCAGTTTACTGCCAGCTTTTTCATCGTCTTCATGGTATAGTTCAACGTTTTTCGCGCTAGTCCAAATCCACTCAGTTTTATCTAAAGTAAAAGCTCACATTTTTACTCTTTTATTTTCTCCCTAAAATCTTATTTTTCTCACCATTTGCGTATCATAGAAACAGTTCCTCGCGCTTATGTCTCGGTGAATGATATAGTTTGAGTGTAAGAACTCTAGACCCCAACCGGCGCTTACGATCATTCGCAACATCTCTTCTTTTTTCATTTTACC